TTCAAGGGATTCTCCTGAAGAGCATCTTCGTCGTGGTTGGTGCTGGGTAACACTAATAGCTTTTCTCGGATGTGGACCACTGGTAGAATGTGTCTTCAGCACCACATAGTCTTTGTCGTTGGAGGACGGGTGTCTGGTGGTTGAAAGCACTGATTCCCGGAACAGCAAATGATAATTCAAATGAAAATCCAAAACACAGAAAAATCCGCCATTTCTGTTTGGAGTGTTAGAGGACATAGATGATTCCTCTCCATTAAACACCCAATCACTCACCCATTCTCCGAACAAAATATACAGAGAACGCTTTTCCATAAGTCATCCATAAACTCATAAAAATATATTATTAAGTGAAACTGTCATAGTCATGGCTAACTTTGATGAAGTGAATGTTCTTGGCACATAACTATAATCCAAAAGCATTCAGCATTCAAGATACTTTTGTGGTTAAGAATTCAACTACTCTTAAGAGAATATAGCATGTATAATCCATAATATATGTATAAAGACTATCAGTGATATCACATCTGTTGGATTAACTATTTTTGGTAATCAAGGAACACTTCGCAGTTTCGTTGAATAGAAACCTCGAGGCTTGGCTGTCTGTTTATCTCTAAACATTGCTATAACACAGTGTTCGTTTAAATTCATACATCATCAATCCTTAATATGTAATAAGGATTTTGATCTCGAAACTGAAGATTTGAATGAACGCGATGCGTTCTGGGGTACTACCGGTTATATCTATAAAACGTATTTAATGATAAACAATGCTTATTTACACCCAGCAAAGGGTACATAATCAGTTGTGGACGTATCTGTTACTGGCCCCATTTGTTTTTAATCAATGTTCATTATCTCTTCAATGTAATGTATGTCGTAGTAATCAATTATAACTTTAACTGTCCCTCAATTCTCGACCTATATATAAATGGAAGTTTACAAAAACTGATTTGCAGATTTTAGATATACACAAGGGAAAATGGAAAAAGGGTCGCACCAGCAACATGTTTCACAGTATCAATACTTACCATTAAACATAACAAAAGAATTATCCAAACCTCAATTTAAGTTATCATCTGGCGAGATTGAACTTCAAGGAATAATAAAATGGCAAAAATAACTAATACATGTAGTATAATACACTAATTCTCAGAAGAAACCTAAGTAAATGACTCATTTTGTAGTGCTGATTACTATTGTTGTATGCGTTCCAAACTTGATGTGGCCAAGTATTATCGTCCATAAAGACTGGCCTTGTGTTCAGAGGATGGTCTTTGAAATGGACAATAACCTGTCTATGATGTCAGTGATGTAACATTGTCCATTTAGCATTTGTCTCATCATCGCAAGATCAAGCTTACAGACACTTGAGAGGCACCCCCACGCCATCAATGAACCCCCGCCAAACGGTACTTGTTCCATGATATTCCGTTGTCTATATGCAGCAGACACGAGCCATCAGCCATCAGTCACTTTTGTCCGACCAGTGCAGCCTTCCCTATTCCACTGAATCCCGGCCGTGATATTGCTGGAATATTGCTAAAAGCGGCGTTAAACCATACTCAATCACTCATAGCTAATCTATCATAGTTCTATTAGAATCATTGACTTTACAGAGTGACCAGTGGTGCGCAGACTAAGGACTTGGCAACTGAGATCCTTTTGTAAACAATCCTTTAACAGGTTGCATACATTCTCATAGTAAATCAGAACCAGTTTCATTGGGAACACCAAGTAGCACTAGGAACAAAATGAATTCCGACCTAACTAATAACTTTATTGCTTTCACACCACTCCGAATTTGGGAGTTTGCGTAAATAAAATAAACATCTTTAGAATCTTGTTTCATTTTATTCAACACACTCAACCCTGATAACATTCACCTTCATGTTGAGACATTACTCCCTCGCCAACTTGACGAAGGATCGGGTATTCTGTTAATATTTTCTTACATTGACGTAATCAAGAAAATTGTGTCCTATGTTAATTGTTCACAAACCTCGACATATTTCCTTGTGTACAGAGACTGAGGTCAAAGTTTTGATGTCCTCCTTATGTGTCACGGCGCTCCTGTGATCAGGGTGTCATTAAATATGGCTTAAGTAGTAGTATAAAACGTGGAGAAAGTTCACAATTGTATTAATAGTACCTTAGACATGCGATGTAAGGGATCAATGCCCCAATTAACACCGACAATAGACAGGCGATTAACAAACCATGATACAAACCAAATACACAATCTGATTAGCTCAGCAACAGTATAACCGTGATTAAGATAGCTGCAACCACTCTCTGACAAGACAATCAACAAGTTGCACAGGCAACCAAGTCGGCTGTTATCACATGGGGGGTTCTGTGAAGTGCAAAATTCATTTATTCAATTGAATAGTGTAATAGGTAAATATCAACAGTAAGATCTGAGACACGAGAGATATCATATGTACACTGTGACTGTTGGCTGGAATGAACAATTCACTGCCTGACCACACAACAACCACTCGCGACTATGTCTCTGTTTGTGTGCGTGCATGAGTGCGTGCATGAGTGCATGCGTGCCTGCGTGTATTCATCAATATGTATTATGACTAATATATTACCGTGATTGTGTAGGGTAACGTGCAGAACAGCCACGAGTGATATGCATAGCGGAACATTTTTTACATATTTTTATGAAGCGTTACTGTCATAGCACATCCAGTAAGTGCAACTAAGACAATGATGAACATACTGAATTTAAGTAAGGCGTGAGAGTAAGTAAATACTTACTAAACTGTGTTTTATACATGGAATATCATTGATTTACAATACATACATTAATACGATATTTACATCCTATACACTATAACTCAAACATTTCGTCTGTGAAAATATACATGCATATAAATGCAACATGGAAAACATAATACAACAGAGACGTAGGGTCAATTAAACCTCAATGGTTTAGATAGAAATATTTAAGTTTACACTATAAATTGATGGAAATAGTAAACAATTAAATCATTCTTCATATAGGTTGTTTTAAGATTTCGAGTTTCAATGACAAATCACTTCATATTAGGGCGTATGCAAATTAAAAAATGTCAGATCTAAACTCAAAACACATCAGTATTCTTATTACTACTGGGTCTTAGTGTGACGTGTCTGATGGCAATTGTACGTACATTTGGACAAATTCTTGTTTTAAAACCAGTAACAGAATTACTGTTAATTATTGCCTCTTTCAGTTTGTGAATTCCGCTGTTTTCATGAATCGTTGAAAACGGTGCTGTTCGTGCAAAAAGAATGCTTAGAAATTCATATTTGTTTTTTTTAATTTCAGCCGTATCAGTAGTTGAAGTTCCATTCTATGTATCATAGGCGAAAATCCAGTGATACAGACAGTTTTGAAAGTTGTTACATTATTTATGCACACTTGAAATAAGAATGGCCCCAGTACTGAATCAAGTGTGACATCTGCCCTGCTGAAATTGTGAATCGATAAATGGCCACTGAGACATTCCTCGGTGACGATCTGACAAGTAACTAATAAGTTACCATTAGTGGTATATATTATGTAATCGTTTCCAGTGTAGCTTTCTGTCATACCCTGTAGTAAATGCTTTTTGTCGTGTACCTTTATGTCATACCCTGTGGTATAACCTCATCAAATGTACCTTTATGTCTTACCCTGTGGCATAACCTTATCCAGGGTACCTTTATGTCATACCCTGTGGTATAACCTTATCCAATGTACCTTTATGTCAAACCCTGTGGTATAACCTTATCCGATGTTCTTTTATGTCATACCCTGTGGTATAACCTCATCAAATGTACCTTTATGTCATACCCTGTTGCATAACCTTATCCAATGTACCTTTATGCCGTACCCTGTGGCATAACCTTATCCAATGCATCTTTATGTCATTTCCCAATGCACCTTTGTGCCATACTCTATTTTACGAGATTTTCCAGTGTGCCTTTATGTTATGACATGTCGCATGTGTTTGCAATGTCACAAAATGTCCCACAAAAGTGCTTGTTAACATGTCATACCCTGTGTTATAACCTTATCCAGTGTACCTTTATGTCATACCCTGTTGCATAACCTTATCCAGTGTATCGTTATGTCATACCCTGGGGTATAACCTTATCCAATGTACCTTTATGTCTTACCCTGTAGTATAACCTTATTCAATGTACTTTTATGTCATACCCTGTGGTATAACCTCATCAAATGTACCTTTATGTCATACCCTGTGGTATAACCTTATCCAATGTATCTTTATGTCATACCCTGTAGTATAACCTTATCCAGTGTACCTTTTTGTCATACCCTGTTGCATAACCTTATCCAGTGTACCTTTGTGTCATACCCTGTGGTATAACCTTTTCCAGTGTACCTTTATGTCATACCCTGTGGTATAACCTTATCCAATGTACCTTTATGTCATACCCTGTGGTATAACCTTATCCAATGTACCTTTATGCCATACCCTGTGGTATAACCTCATGAAATGTACCTTTATGTCATACGCTGTTGCATAACCTTTTCCAATGTACTTTTATGTCATACCCTGTGGTATAACATCATCAAATCTACCTTTATGTCATACCCTGTTGCATAACCTTATCCAATGTACCTTTATGTCATACCCTGTGTTATAACCTTATCCAATGTACCTTTGTGTCATACCCTGTGGTATAACCTGATCCGATGTTCTTTGATGTCATACCCTCATCAAATGTACCTTTATGTCAAACCCTGTTGCATAACCTTATCCAATCTACCTTTATGTCATACCCTGTGGTATAACCTTATCCAGTGTACCTTTGTTTCATACCCTGTTGCATAACCTTATCCAGTGTACCTTTATCTCATACCCTGTTGCATAACCTTATCCAATGTACCTCTATGTCATACCCTGTTGCATAACCTTATCCAATGTACGTCTATGTCATACCCTGTGGTATAACCTTATCCAGTGTACCTTTCTGTCATACCCTGTGGTATAACCTTTTCCAATGTACCTTTATGTCATACCCTGTGGTATAACCTTATCCAATGTACCTCTATGTCATACCCTGTGTTATAACCTTATCCAGTGTACCTTTATGTCATACCCTGTTGCATAACCTTATCCAGTGTGCCTTTATCTCATACCCTGTTGCATATCCTTATCCAAAGTACCTCTATGTCATACCCTGTTGCATAACCTTATCCAATGTACCTCTATGTCATACCCTGTGGTATAACCTTATCCAATGTACCTTTATGCCGTACCCTGTGGCATAACCTTATCCAATGCATCTTTATGTCATACCTATCCAATGCACCTTTGTGCCATACTCTATTTTATGAGATTTTCCAGTGTGCCTTTATGTTATGACATGTCGCATGTGTTTGCAATGTCACAAAATGTCCCACAAAAGTGCTTGTTAACATGGCGAGTAACAAATTTGGTGACAACCTTCGGTCAGTGAATCCCGACTGATGTTTGCAAAACTATTTTATGTTGTAATGTCTTTCGAAAAATAGTTCAATTGAACAATTTTAAGGTAAACTCATAGAATTATATATGTGAACAATTTCAGCCGTATCAGTTGTTGAAGTTCCAATCAATGTATCATAGGCGAAGCATCAAGTGATACAGATAGTTTTGAAAGTTGTTACATTATTCATGTACACTTGAAATAAGGATGGCCCTAATTTAAGTTGGATTTGTTTTGTTTTGTGACGAACAGTTGCATCAGACCAGGCATTGTGACAAACTGATGTTCAAGCTTCATGTTTATGAAGATAAGTAAAGAGTTCATTTCTCAAAAAACGCTCACTCCTCAAACGTTTCATTCACATCCTGGGTTATGTTTGTGTGTCCGTTGTAAGATATCTTACATTGACATTTGACAAATCACAGTTTTCTTCAATAAAGATTATTGAATCAGTCTTTTCAGTCAGGTGATGGATTTGTTCAGACATGGCTACATCAGCATCACATTCATTCTGGATCGACTCACAGCAAGAAACACTCTCCATCTCGGGAAGCGCCGATGCATCCAAGACAGCCCTCCTTTTCTTGGGGATTTCTTTCAGAGGTAAAGCAGGTCTCGTTGACCGTGATGGTGAAACTGAACTGTCATCTATCTCACTGTACGTAGCATTGGTGCTGTTGATTGTTCTTGAAATGTTCCTGAAGAAAGGAGTATCTGTGTTTCTGTTAAAATAGCGGAAAACCCGTTATCCGATGTAAATGTCAGTATGCGTTCACGTATTATAGAAAAATATTATCGATGAAAAGTGTTTACAATACCAAATCTGCAGTGGAAAATCCACTCTAAAACATTGTCAATTAACATCAGAAAATCATGATGATGTCAGAAGAAACACTCATACACTGCAGTCCATCAAAATGTAAGCATCAAGACGACAACCAGCTCCAGGTATTTATCTATGTTGTAATTCGTTCTTTACCTGTCACCGCTAATGTTATAAGGGACTGGGCCTCTATAATAGATCCCATTAAAGTATTGAGTCAGTTGGAACTTACATTTTCTCAAAATCATTTTAAGCAAAAATAAGTACCAGCACTTACCTCCTCTTCACATATATCCGAAATATGATGATCATGGCTAGAACAGTGCAGCATAGGAGTCCTGCTAGAGCCCCAAAAGAAATAACCAAAGTGTGTTCAGGTGAACCTGAAATAAAAGGGTTATTTGGGTAAATCATTTTGACTTGCGTAGGAGCATAGAAATCCTGCTAGTGCCCCAAATGAAATAACCAAAGTGTGTTCAGGTGAACCTTAAATAAAAGGGTTATTTGGGTAAATCATTTTGACTTGCGTAGGAGCATAGAAATCCTGCTAGTGCCCCAAATGAAATAACCAAAGTGTGTCCAGGTGAACCTTAAATAAAAGGGTTATTTGGGTAAATCATTTTGACTTGCGTAGGAGCATAGAAATCCTGCTAGTGCCCCAAAAGAAATAACCAAAGTGTGTTCAGGTGAACCTTAAATAAAAGGGTTATTTGGGTAAATCATTTTGACTTGCGTTGGAGCATAGAAATCCTGCTAGTGCGCCAAATAAAATAACCAAAGTGTGTTCAGGTGAACCTGAAATCTAAGGGATATTTTACTAAATCATCAACCCGTTTGAAAAGTACACCTAGCGTTTCAATGAGGGAAACTTGCAACAACGGTCCTGTAACGGATATGTAGTTTTATTATCGTCTTGTGGAAGATCTTTCCAAATTTGACACTTCAGACACAAATTCAGAGACAATGTGTAATTCCACATCTTTTCTTTCTTTTGTTTACTTTTCCAGTGTATTGTTTATGCCTTTGCATGTGTTTGCGACGGGTGCCACTGGTGGGGCAGGATACGCTCACATTTAAAGATTACCTGGTATGATCACTTTCGTATGGTAATTTATGAACACAAGCTTAAGATATAGTCGGAATCGTACAATCAAATTTCGTCACTTATATTTATAAAAAATATGACTCCTTCTTAGCCAAGCAGTTACCATGCATTGCACTGAAATTTAGGTCCTTTGATTTTACATAACTCTGCACAGTTCCTAATTTCAATATGTTAGAATAATTGTGTTCAAATGCAAAATATATCTGTGGGACAGAAGGACTGTTTTAGAATCCTCTCCGGGTCAGAAAGGTATTCATTCCATGAATATGAGTCACTTTACGACTAAAAACACTCAAAACCGATAACATGACGTCACGAGCAGTTATCTTCAAATAACAATAAGATGACATCATTGAAGATTCACCCGTGCAGATCCGGGTTAGAATTGATCTTCTGTAACCCATTCTTGTCGTAAGAGGCGACTAACGGGATCGGGTGTTCAGGATCGCTGACCTGGTTGACATATCCCAGTTGCGTAGATCGATGCTCATGCTGGTGATCGCAATCTTGTCTGGTCCAGACTCGATTATTTACAGATCGCCGCCATATAGCTGGAATATTGGAGTGCGGCGTAAAACTAAACTCACTCACTGGATATTCATAAGAACGTCTTGTACAATCCAATTTCTGTTTTCTGTTGCACCATATGTTCCCGTGCTTTTAGATAAAACACTGAGTTGCAGTTACATAGGTTTCGGATAGGTGATACCGAATGAGCAGGATATGCTCACCTTTTCACGAACACTTGGTACATGTACCATCTCTTGTATAAAGTGTTTCATAACACTTGTTAATCACATAGTATGAATAATACAAGGGTATTTGCTTTGAGCAATATCTATTATTATTATGGAAAAGATTTTTCTGCCTGTTATCTATCACATCGTAACTCTGTGTTTTATCTCAAACCACGTCAAAGAAAAGGATCAAATTAGCACCTTTAGCTATAATTTGTGTTTTAGTTTGATTGATTCACATTACAGTGCATATAATATTAACTACATCCTTTTGTAGATATAAACATATCCGTTGATGATATCATTCATTAAATATAGGTAAAATAAATGCCCCGTGCGTGAAGACGCTGTGTGGAGTACTTTCACCAAGACGCTGTGTGGAGTACTTTCACAAAGGCGCGACATGTGTTTCGAAACATCGCGTTGGTTTGAAACCAACAGCCCTGTATCACATCCGGCTGTTCGTGAAACGTTTGAATATTATTCGAAGAGGCAATGATCTGAGGCTTTACTTTCATTTTGGTAAAGTGATAAACATTTGTGTATACGGGAGTGATTTTACAACAGGCATTATTACCGTATAAAGGAATAAATGAGTGAATTATGTTACATACGTTTTTGACAAGGTTCTCTGTGGCACGTGTCCTGTGAACACGGAGAGCACATTTCATCACAATATGTCCTACTGAAGCTCTGGGCACAACCGATACACAGTCCAGTGTCCTTCTCACACCCTTCACAGCCGACGGGACATGGATCGGAGCAGTTCACTCCGTGGTAGTTACTGTCGTGACAGAGGCCCATGCATATGTTGTCATAGCGACCGCACAGTTTACAGTTATATGGGCACAACTCGTTACACAGTTCCCCTCTCAGACCTGGTGCACAGTTGAGGCATCTCGCCGAGTCTTTCTCACATTTGTCACAGTTATCTGGACATGGAATGGTGCATATCTTTCCATAGTAGTTGGCGTTGATACAAGGTCCACTGCACTGGTTTTGTGTGAAGTCATAAACATTACAGTTTGCTCGGCATGTTGTTTTACAGGATGTGCTGTTACAGTTATCTCCCTGTTCGTCACATCCGCCCTTGCAGTACCCTTCAACACAGTGTATACACTCGCCTGTTTCCCTGTCACATATTTTACACCTGGCGGGACAGGTAATGTTACAGTAGTCCCCTGTGTAACCTGGTACACAGCTGTCACAGTGCTTTCCCGTGTAACCCGACTCACAGCTGTCACAATCCCCTGTGATCCTATTACATCCACCTCTACAGTTAGAGGGACAAGGTGTTCTACAGTCTTGACTGTAATACTGGGGATTCTGACACGGTCCTGTACAACCATCACCATAACGTTCACACTGTGTACAAGCTGTAGAACAGTTCACTCCACAGTTATCTCCCTTCTTGCCGGCCACACATCCATCTGTACACACAACACGGGTGTTGTCCATCTGACAGCGAGAGTTGAGACAGGTGTCTGGACAGTCATGTTGACAGTGTTTACCATAGAACCTGGAGTCCAGACACTGGAGACACTCTCCAGATGACGTCACATTGACACATCGAGGTCGACACACATCGTCAACACAGGTCACGTTGTTACCGTCACAGATGCTGCAACTACTGCTGGTAGCGGAACCTATGAACAAAGAGACGACATACAATGAAATGACTGATATTAATGTAAGACAATAAATCCGAAACACGTTTCCATTTCTTATTCTCGTTGAAATAAGTAAGTGTAAACATGTTATATTTGGGATTACACTTTCTCAGTCAAGTACCGATTCTAGTACTTTTCTTGTGTTGAGTCAGGGATGCTACTGTGGACACTCAGTGGCTCAGTGGGTTAGGCGGCTGACTTTGTGTGTTGGCGATTAGGTGCCTGACACTGAGGGTGTTGGTTCGAATCCCGGATGGGACTCAACCCAACAAAAGTACTAGAATCTGTGCTTTACTGAGAAAGTGTGAATGACAATGTGCCTTCATAACTATAATCCAACAGAGTGGTTGAAAAAACAACAACTACTCTTATGAGAATATAGCATGTATAATCTAGAATCTGTATTTTACTGAGAAGTGTAATCCCAAATATAACGCGTTACATTTGACCACCTTCTAAGAGTCATTGTGAATTCCAAGTATGTATCTTATTCCTTATATAACGTGTATCATGTTGCGAATCTTACAACTACAACCGCCTGAAAGCAGTTATTATCTTTCGACGTACCAGCCATGATGGCTTCCATTGAGACAGTCAAGGAAACAGACTATGACTTTCACATACCGAGTCATCAACAGTCTAGGCTGTGAGAAAATCACTTGTATCCAGGCAGTGAAACAAATACAGACTGCATTGCGATCTTGTATCGTGGATAATAAATTATGAGGATGCATGTGTACTGACCTGCTACAGAAGCACACAGTAGGGTCATCACTACGGCATCAACCATGGTTGTTGTGGTGAAGATTTCTGAAAAACGAGATTGAAAGTAGTGCGATATTTTACTGTTTAACTTGCTTTCAACAGCATCCGAGTTTATCAAGGTCATAGTTTTGGATGAGTGACTGAAGCAAATTTATGGAGCTTTTGGTTCCCATGGAGTGTTCCATTTTGTATGGGTGAGATTCGGATCGAGGGAAATGGGAGATCACGGAAGGAAACATTACAAACCACGGTCCTGGATCTGATACTGCATGTTGCAGCTTTTGATTTTGACAGGGTCTGATGCAAATAGAGACATGCATATTTGTGGGAAAATATGTAGCTATAAAAACGGTATTAATAATTGCTAGAGGATTTTCAGAAATTATCTTCAAATCTTCCTCTACCAAGTAAAACAAACTAACTCAAGGCAAATATGTTTGAAATTACTCTTCAGTTCTCTATAGCCCTTTCCCAACCTAAACAGCGTTCTACTGATCGATATGTATTGCTATAATGTATAACATTTTCGTATTTTGATGTCAATTTCTAAAAATATTCTTGTAAAATAGCCTATGCGTAATTACCATGCTATGAAATTAACTCCTTCTCCCTCAATTAGTTATCCCCGCTTTCATTGGTAATCCTATTTATCATGCATTTATCTTGCCTCGGCTTGTATCATGTATAATTATGTTTGTTTTCATTGTTATTTGTTTATACCGAAACGTCGCTATTGTAAGAAGTTGATCATCCATAAAGACTTGTCATTCCTAGGAAATATGTACACTTCTTTATAGTTTCGTCATATTCTTAGGAAAACACAATGCATGTATATAGATATGTAAATATCACTTTTAATGACAACACTGTCATGCAAACACAATACCAGCGTGAACTTAGGATAGTAATACAGGGGAGCAATACGGATGACATACAGAGGGTATATAATAAATATAGAACGTCATATTAGTGCATTTGATGTTTATTGAACGAGAAGATGTCATGGAGCAGAGAGTTCATGTTCTCTCTGCTCCCATGGCATCTTCTCGTTCAATAGTAAACATCCAAATGCACTTAGTATGACGTTTTATAGATACATTAAAACGCCATACTAGTGCATTTGGATATTTTGTATTTCGATATAAGCTCATGTATATAAGGTGATATTCTTGAATCCTTAAGTTCCAAATGTGATTCACATGATGTCATGCATATATATATGACATCATGTGAATCACATTTGGAGCAGGATTCAAGAATATCGCCTTATATACATGACTTATATCGAAAGACAAAATATAGTTTATAGATTACTGTATAGAGAATCTATAATATTCACCTTGAGTCGCAGCTTGACTACTGGCTACTCACACGATGGAGAGGAGAGCGTCACAACGTGGTCCGTGGGAAGAAACTACCTTCCTCACCATCTGCGTTTTGGGTTCAGTTTTGCTAGTAACAAGGTTCAGTTATTACTTCCTACACTCGAGACCAATTGAGGAAATATTTTCAATTTCATATTTTTAAGTATCACGCGGCCTTGAATCGAACTTGCTGCGATGGCTACGGGTGCGTTTTGGGGCCTTTTGATTTCAACTTAGTATCTTGAAATTTCAAGCAAAAATATAGAAACACGAATGGCCTTAAAAGCTTCGCAAAAGCAAATGATAATTCAAATGAAAATTAGTCACAGCAAATATGACATGCAGCATTCCAAAACACAGAAAAATCCGCCATTTCTGTTTGGAGTGTTAGAGGGCATAGATGATTCTTCTCCATTAAACACCCAATCACTCACCGTTCTCCGAACAAAATATACGGAGAACACTTTTCCATAAGTCATCCATAAACTCATAAAAATATATTATACAGTGAAACTGTCATAGTCATGGCTAACTTTAATGATGTGAATGTTCTTGGCACATAACTATAATCCCACAGCATTCAAGATACTTTTGTGGTTAAAAAATCAACTACTCTTAAGAGAATATAGCATGTATAATCCATAATATAAAAACTATCAGTGATATCACATCTGGTGGATTAACTGTTTTTGGTAATCAAGGAACACTCCGCAGTTTCGTTGAATAGAAATTCGTTGAATCGAGGCTTGGCTGTCTGATTATCTCTAAACATTGCTATAACACAGTGTTCGTTTAAATTCATACATCATCAATGCTTAATAATAAGGATTGAAAACTGAAACAGAAGATTTGAATGGGCGCGATGCGTTCTCGGGTACTACCGGTTATATAGTATGACCAGAAATTATTGAGAATTTTAGGAATATGTTTAATTGGATTTCTAGTATAAACAACCTTGACCAGCACCTTGTTCAAGTGCTTGGTTTCATTCAAGAGAGACAACTCCGTAAATCCTTTTTCATTAGCGTTTGTGAAGAGTTATCCTCCTTTGTTTACTTGCTAGCAGACGACATTTTCAGTGATCCTCAGTATGGGTCATTTAGAGAATAGGAAGTTGATTTTAGAGTATTATAACAAGGACATCAGATCAGCTAAAGTGATTTCAAGTAGAACAGGCATCCCTTTGTCCACTGTTTATCGTGTTTTAAAAAATATTGCAAATGGATATGGCATTGAGCACCAGGGAGGCGCAGGAAGGCCCAGAAAAGTTGACTGTCGGTGACAGGAGGCGGCTTGGTATTCTTGTTTCTAAAAACATACGAAGGAGTTTAGAAAACTTAAGGCTGGATATGATTGATAGAGGAACTGTGGCTGTCTGTAGGGAGACAATTAGAACTGAGCTGCATGCAATGGGTTGGCAGAAAGGTCGAAGAATTCCATCACCGATCATGAAACCTGAACAAAAGGAGCGAAGGTTGAACTGGTGCTTACAGCATAGAAATTTTAACTGGGACAATGTGATTTTCTCAGATGAAAGTTCTGTGTGGCTGTTTCCTAATACACTGAAATTCTGAACCAAATAAACTGAAAAACCTTTGTATCAGCGCCCAAAGTACAGTCCGAAATGTAACGTGTGGGGTGGCATATCTATGTTAGGGCAACGCCCTCTGTGTATTATTTGAAGGAATATGAACAGTGAGCGGTGCACAGATATTCTCGGGGACATTTACTTCAATCTGCTCACGTGTTCTATGGAAATTTTTGGATTTTCCAGCAGGACAACGACCCAAAACATCGTTCAAAGCATTCACAGGCCTGGTTTCGGACCCAAAATATGACATTATTAGATTGGCCAAGCTATAACCCTGACCTAAATACAATAGAAAATGTTTGGGGACTTATGAAGGAAAGTGTCAATAAGAAAAATCTGACAAATATTGCTGAAATGAAAGAAGAGTTGGTCCGACTTTCTAACTTCTTTGATCAGTAGTATGCCCCGCCGCATTGAAGCCTGGATTGCTGCCCATGGT